AGAGCTCAAATTAAGTCCTTAATATTACACTCATGTTCCACTTGTGCATATTAACGACCCACGCTACAATTATGATATTAGCTAAATGCTAATGATGCTAATTGGAGACTCTAGGGTTGAATAAGAACCAGAGGAGGAGACTGAAGGAGACCAGACCACCAGCACTGCAGACGGAAAAACCATATGACCACAAATATTTACATTCATTAAACTGGGCTCGATTTAAAAAGACACTGACGGCTAAAGGCCTGTCATGATAATTACTATATGCATTTATCATTAAAATATACAAGTACAAAAACAGATCTGAACCAGGAAGAAACCAGGACAAAACCAGGTCTAAACTAGGCCAACATGAGGCTTAAATCAACACTTCACCAGGGCTAAATGGGATCAAAAAAAGATATGGGCAATAATGTTATTGAGGAGAGTTAAAATCAGTTCTAAACTATGGCACAACCACAAATAAGATAATGGTAACTGCAGAGGAAAAACTGTACAACTGCAAATATTTATATCCATGATTTTTAAGAAATACACATAGACCTTTAACTAATTCCTTTACCAACTTATAAATAGAATACACAAGTTCATAGCCAGATCTTAACTGGAATAAAACCAGGAAAAAAACAAGTTTAAACCAGGTCAAAGGGAAATAACCATAACCAGAAATAAGAGTGTAACACAGACTGTATAAAGAAGTGGACTAAGAGAGGGTGACGTCACCCACAGCCTTCTGCTCCAGTCAAATGAAGCTCATTGAAGCTACCAGTTATATGGGAGAATTAGGGTCTGAGTTCCATATTTGGAATTACGACCACGAGTATCATAGCAGCCAAAGACCCAGGCAAGAGCGGGCATTTAGCAACACTGTCTATCAAACCTAACACTAGCAGGAGCGACCTTAGAGAAAGAAGGCACCTGATTTGTCTGTTACTAATGTCCATTTATCTTCATTTATGGACAAAATAGTGAAATAGAAACACCAGGATCATGTAGAGTAGGAAGGTGTGAACATTTTTAGGTATAGTACAGGGGTGAGCAATTCTTTTTTCCATGGGGCCACATGAGAAACACAAAATATTGTGAAGGCCAAAATGCTTAACTCAGTTCTGCTTAATATTAATTGTATTTTTTTTTTTTTTTTTATAAAAAGCAATAAATCACATTGTTTTGATGAGCTGCTCAGAATGGGAAGAGTTTATTTTCTGACTAAGCAATGAAAAAGTGAAGTTCACAAACAAAAAATGTCTTTTAACAAAACACTTCTAAAATAAAAGCAATGCAGCTTTAGTCCATGCATGAGGTCAAATTATAAAATACGTTTATTTTGTAATTCCAAATTATCTTAAACAGGCCCATCAGAGTCGACCAAAGGGTCACTTTCTAGAGGTGGCAGGTCACCTGCATAATTCCATCAAAATTTGTTAAAAAGTTAAAAACATACTTTGGGACATTCTCCTTGGCTATAGATATGTTTTATGCCATACTTTGGAATACTGAAGCCACAGAAACAGCATTTCTATGGAAACAAGAAGGAAGAAGCCCTCCTCATGTCCAAATAAGAGTCAGGTTTGTGGAGATGCAAGCCGACGTTTACAGCAATGTCGGCTCCCTTTGGGCCCTGCAGTTTTCAAACCAAAATTTTGTGTTTCAGGTCAATATTGTGATTTATAGAAAAAAATCCCGCACACTGTCTTACTTGCAAATTGTGAGATTTATTATTTGTTTGTCCTAATAAATCTCACAATTTTTAAGTAAGACGTGTACGGGATTTTTCTCTATGTTCTTGGGCTGCTCCCTCTCCTCAGACGCATCCATCTCTAGTAACTGATGTGCGAAGTTCTCATTCTTTTCTTCTTCAATATTGTGATTTAAAATGTCCAAATTATAACATAATGTTCCATGTGTGTCAAGCGCAGAGCAGACAAAAGCACCGTCTGTTTTCTTATAAGGTCTGATGTCGATCCTGAATAAAAGTACTACAATGACACAAAAAAACATAATAATCCAATAATTAATTTAACCTGTTTTAGCAAATTATTATAGTGTTTTTTTTTGTTTTTTCTATTTTGTCCACCCATACCTAGACCATACCTGCTCTAAAACAAGGACTAAAAGACAGAACCAAATCTGGTGCACACTGACTAAAAAAGTTCACTTTAGACTGTTCACCAGCTCGTGTACAATTACCATTTTAGCACACTGCATTTCCAAAGTACCTCTCTCCCATTTCGAGTCTTAATTGACCCGGGACGTCGCTAATAGCCTACGGAGATTTTGGCCTTGTCCCTGCACTCTGATTGGTCGAGCCTCTCTGCGGTCAGCTAATTGGTCAGAGGTGTGCGTTAATTATTGGTGGAACGAGGTCAAGTGCGTCTGAGCCAAAATGTCCGCCCCCATGTGAAGCCGTGGCTCTCATTTCGGGGCACAGCTGGTTAGAAGGGTTTGGGAGAGTGCGCTTATCGCTGGGTTATCAATGAGTCGTGCTGTTAGGATGATAAGATCCAAAAATGTGTGATACCTGCTCTGGTTTACATTTTAAGCAAGCAACAGTATCTATTTTAGACTATTATTCAATGTGTGGAAATTTAATGGGGTAAAATTGGGTCAAAAAGTAACTGCGAGTACCCAAAAGATGATTAAAGAAGGGGCTATATGACACTATTTTCTGATCTGGTATAATGTAATTTCCTCATCACAGACATACCTGGAGTTTTGTTTCATTCATACATGTTTAACACACAGACCCTGCAGATTTAACACTCTGTTCTACCTTGTAAACTGCTCCATTGTGCTTTTAAACTCCACACACTTTCACTAGAATCATTTGGATAATTTAAGGCCTGGAATTGCCAATCTGTACTGAACTAAAGGTAAAAGGAGCTGTTAACATGAAAACTACAGTTTCATGACATCACAAGGTGGAACAGAGCATTTAGAGTTTTGGAGATGTAGACAGGATAATAATAAAGGGTTTAATCAAACATGTGTGAATATGTGAATCATGTGTTTTTGAGGAGGTAACAACATTATTACATCACTTAAAACTCACACTACCGTATTTTCCAGGCTATTAGACGCGCTCTTAAGCCACCAACTACGGAAGCCGAGAGGGGTCACAACAAACGCAAACGCCGCAATAAATATAAATGCGACAACACAACAAAAAGCCACAACACACCAAAAAAAGCCACAAAGGAAATGACCGTCATTTGTGACCCCTCTCAGCTTCCGTAACCAACCCCATCAAAAAATGACTGAGCGCCCCACAATCCAGAGCGCCCTATACACGAAATCCACTCGGGTGTCCCAGCACGACTTCAGTAAACTACAAAGAGGCACCACCTGCAACGCACGCAAACACGCACGGAGCAGACAGTGACCGCACAGCGAAACACACCCACAGACACACTCATCACTCCACGCCGACGAGGAAAGGAATGGAGGAACAAACTGAAAAAGCGAGTGCAATGTGCCACTTCTAGACACGACTGAACAACTGAGTCACTGCGAACACGCCAACAATCCAGCGACAGACAGCACCCTCCCTACACGCCACAACTGAACAAAGCCCAGAGTCACCGTGAACGCCACAAACAAACAAAACCACTCACCCATCACACTGTTGGGTTTCATTTAAAGTTCGGTGCGGTTTATTGAAAATAGACCATTTAATGACAGTGTGTCTTATAATCCAGAGCGACTAATAGTGCGGAAAATCCTTTAATCCCTTGTGTGTAATATAGGACCTTTAAATTTTTAAACAATAAACGCAATAGAAAAAGGGGTGGGAAATTTGCAAAAAAATTTAAAATAAAATTCACAATTTCAACTTGATCACAATTTAAGAGGTACTCATCTGTTTCTTCACATTTTATTGCAGTTGGTTAAATCCACCTGTCACTCACTCAAAGCCTTGCTGAAGCTGACCAACAGGAGGTGTGGGCGGGATCAAGTCTTTGTTTTATTTGTGAATCACAGTATGACAATTTCACCAAACTAGCAGATTGTCACTAGCCAGGCTGGCGCCACCTAGTGTCTCCACTCAATTTCATTTCTCTCCAGCGACTAGGTCTGGAATCAGAATACACTAGACAGTTTGCAAAAACCCCAAAAGTGCAAGTTCAGGCACCAGCCAATCAGTGAAGAACCATATATTCTGTGTAGGCAATGATTCCCGAAATTGAGGATTTAAAGCCGGAACAAAGAATGGTGAATTTTATCAAGGGGAAAAACGTTATTGTCCTTCTTCCTAGGGGATTTGGGAAAAGTTTAATATACCAGTTAGCCTCGTTAACAGCACATTACATACATCACGACCAAATAGCAGCGACTGGTTAAATGAAAAAAAGTACCTGCCTACTGTCGAGTGAATGAAATGTAACACTGCGAGGTCAGACGGTTTCTGTGAAGTGAAACCGGCTGATGAATCAGGCTAGATTGTCACAGGAATGAGATCATAATTCCATTTTTATCACTGTATCGCCCAGCCCTACATGAAAGCTGGAAAGGGGTCAATTTTAAATTCATTGTCCAATACTGATATAAATGAAATTGAACCTTCAGATCCCAGTGTTGTTGTGTTGTATGAAGCAGTGACTAAAGGTGAGGCTATATACTTATTCCATAGGAGACATATTATGCAAAATAGAGAGGTATGAGCTTTTGATTAGTCTTGAGTGCTCAGAAAATATTTGACGTTTACAGTGATGTCGGCTCCTTTTTGGCCCTGCAGTTTTCAAACCAAAATTTAGCATTTCAGGTCAATATTGTGATTGCAAATGTCCAAATTATAACATAATGTTCCATGTGTGCCAAGCGCAGAGCAGACTAAAGCACCAAAAGTCTTCTTTAAAGGTCTGATGACAATCCTGGATGAATAAAGGGACTACACTGACACAAATCATAAATCTACAATAGTAGGCTCAGATTTGTGATAACAGCACACATACACATCTAGAGCTGGTGTGTTGTATTGTTTGTAGTGCGAGACTCACTTGTCCCATCCGAGTGTCTCCAGCTCAGAGAGGAGGTCTGAGTACGACTGAGGCCGAGGGATGGAGAGGGGCGAGGGACGGCTCTGTACACACACCTCCTGTAACGCAAGAGGACGGAGTTTAACATGAGGCTAAATAAAAACCAAACTAAACCTAAAACAGAGAAGAGAGAGAGCAGAGAGGACAGAGGACAGAGTGTCAGGGGCATAGAGAGAGTAGGGACAACTCTGTACATTCACCTCCTGTAACACAAGAGGAGGGAGTTTAAAAGAAGATTCATCTGATCGCTATAAGATTAAATACATCAGCATATAAACTGACATTGGTTCAACGTAACCCTGGGCTCAGACTGCACACAATATATGGAGAACAATTTGTGGTTGAGCTGAAAAAAAAAAAAAGATGAAGTACAAATAAAATACAGTACCAGTATAAACATTAGGGCCTGACTGATATATCCGTTGCCCAACAGTATTGGCTGATATGGGCACATGGAGACATAGCAGCTATCGGCCTAAATCTTGCTCATATGGGCTGATAGTCCATGTGGACCTGTTATGCTCTTGTTATAAAGCTTAGTCTCTATATTATGTTACCTTTACCAGTAAGAATGTGATGCAAAACTCCCATTAGACTTACGTAAGGTCTGTAAATATGACTGTAAATAGGCAAAAGAACAGTAAATGTCACCTAAACAAATACAACTTAAAATCTAATAGAGTCAGACCTAAGATTTATAATTAGCTGAAGATTTACAGTGAATCTTCACATTACTAAATATAATGGCTGTTGTATCCCCAGGTGTGACTACCCAAAATTTAAGACTTTTTTAAGACCTTTTTAAGACCACTTAAATGAAAATTAACACCAACATTGCACCCATTTAGAAGGCAAAAAAACAATTCTAATAATGACCAAATAACAACCGGTACTATATCTAGATTCTAAGAGCCACTGTGGATTAAACCTACACTTCCCCATGATCCATCCAACGTCTTCCTCCACCGTACTGATTGTGTGCATACTCCAAATTAGACATTCATTCATGTTACGTGATTTCATGTTGTTGTTTTTTTCCCCTCCCTCCATTTAACGTTGCACTGCAGCCTGGTTGAGTCTATAAAAAAATAAGCTAATGAAATAAGACCTTTGTGAAAAAAATAAGACTTGGACAACATAATTTAACTTTTTAATGCCTTAATTTAGGAACATGAAATGACCTTTTTAAGACTTTTAAGACCCTGTGGCTACCCTGTATATCGGTATCATATTGGGTCCTAAAATATCCATATTATATATTCATTTATATGCTCAAGACAATACTGCAGTTATAAAGTATCCTTAGTTTTACCAATTTTTTTTGTTCAGACTATGGGGACAAAAATAAGACTATAGAAAACCACCATAGTCTCCTGTATGATTGGGAAGGTCTGGTTTGGGCTCAGAGTGTACGGCGTGCAGTGAGGTGGTGCAGACAGAGGTGCCGCGTGGGAGTCTACTCTGGCCACAGTCGACCGCAGCACTTAACACTTAATGAATGGTTAATTATGGCATGCACTGCTCCTTGAGTAATACCCCCCCCCCTTCAGTCTGTGTGATCATGTGATGTGTATTTGTGATAACACAGTGGAAGCACAGAGGCTGTTAGCGACACTGATAATGATGTATTCTGCCTTGCCCTGTTACAGTGACAGTGTGAGATTTGGTGTTAGATACAGCTCAGGTGTTAGGCTGCGTTCACACATCTGCTTTGGTTCTTGTTAGGTCCTGGTTTAGTCCTGGTTTAGTCCCGGTTTAGTCCCGGTTTAGTCCCGGTTTAGTCCCGGTTTAGTCTTTGTAGGCAGGTCTGTGCCATATACAGAGGGAGAAAGTATTGTACAGTTGTCACCACTTGCCTCTTGTTTGTTCTGATTTAATCTTGATTTAGATCTGGTTTAGATCTGGTTTAGACCCTGGTTTACAACTGGTTTGGTCCTGGTTTGGTCCTGGTTCAGTCCCAGTTCAGTCCCGGTTTGGTCGTAGTTTGGTCCTGATTTAGCCCTGGTTCTGCCCTGATTTAGCCCTGGCTCTGTCCTGGTTCAGTCCTGGTTCAGTCCTGGTTCAGTCCTGGTTCAGTCCTGGCTCGGTTCCAGTTTGGTCACGGTTTGGTTGTGGTTTGGATCTGATTTAGACCTGATTTAGTCCTGGTTCAGTCCCAGTTTGGTTGTGATTAGGTCGTGGTTCAGTCCCAACTTGGTCCCGGTTTGGTCGTGGTTCGGTCCTGATTTAGACCTGGTTCTGTCCTGGTTCAGTCCTGATTCAGTCCTGGTTCAGTCCCAGTTTGGTCGTGTTTTGGTCATGGTTCAGTCCTGGTTCAGTCCCAATTTAGTCCCGGTTTGGTCGTGGTTTGGTCCTGATTAAGACCTGGTTCTGTCCTGGTTTAGTCCTTGTTGAGTTCTGGTTCAGTCCTGGTTTGGTCGTTGTTTGGTTGTGACTTAGACCTGACTTAGACCTGACTTAGACCTGACTTAGACCTGACTTAGACCTGACTTAGAGTCCGGGTTGAGTCAGTTTCGGGTTCAGTCCTTCAGGTTCAGTCCTGGTTCAGTCCTGGTTCAGTCCTGGTTCAGTCCTGGTTCAGTCCCAGTCTGGTCCCGGGTTTGGTCATGGTTTGGTCCTGATTTAGACCTGATTTAGACCTGGTTCAGTCCCGGTTTGGTCGTTGTTTGGTCGTGGTTCGGTTCTGCTTTAGACCTGGTTCGTTCCTGGTCCCAGTGTCATTGTGACCTGTTGATTCTCACCAGAACAGTTTTCAGTTCCAGGAGGAAGGAGCCCAGATGTGACGACTGCTGCAGCCTCTGGAACACAAGAGACACAAAAACTCTGTCATTTCACTCATCGAGGTGAGAGATTCTACTACTACAGGAGAAATACACAATCTATCAGGTTGTACGGGCTCCTCTGGCCATTACAAGATTTAACAAACGCATCTTCACACGAAACAACACTGCATTTTAACTTAACATGTAACCACATGACACTATTATAGTCAAACTCTATAAGGGTTTCTGTGTCAAAAGTAAATGAAAGATTGGCAAATGTTCAGTTTTCATCGACCCATAACATAAAACAGGCCAATCTTCCAGCTAGATAATCAAATGCAGAAGATCAACTTTCTGGGTGGGGGTTTTATACATGCTTTTTTTCTTGGAGATTTTATTGGTTTGCCAGGAATATTCCACAATAGAGCATTCAATTGAACTATTATACCTTGGAAAACATGAATTTTGAATCTTCACAGATATAACTTGATCTTGTGGCACTACCTGCTTATCTCCTTGGTGACAGAAAAGTTTAATGCCATACTGTGAAACATTTCAAGTCATGCAATAACAACATGGAGTATGTAAGTAAGTATCCACAGCTGGACATTACGCATCTATTAAGACAATTATCAAAAACGTATTTGTACTTTAAAATAGTCTTGACTAGTGTTGTCCAAAGTATCTAAAATCAGATACTAATCAATACTACAACAAGAATCAAAACTAGATACCCATTTGAGCTGGTATCGATAATAAAAACTCCAAAGACAAGTGACAGGACAGAAACGAATGTTTCCTTAATGTCTTTAGACTGATCTTGAGCTGTATCAGAACAAGTGTAAAAGCACGTAGACTAGTATGAAAGTCACATTCTACTGTCTAAATAAAGAGTGTTTTTATTATCAGTGCAGTATTAGAATAGTTATTAAAGCTTGTGTGGAGGATTTTTTAAGTTTCAAATTGTCAATGAAAGTCCAAAATAGCATTACAGAAATGCAGCTGCCTTGTAATTATGATGAAAAAAAAAATAAATAAATAAATAAATAATGAAAATCCATCAACCGTGGACGTGGTGGGGATAGATAAACCGTCGTTATCTATTGGCTGTTAGGTTGTCAATCAAACTCCCTACGTTTCTAGTGTAACTGACTCGCCGCTGAGATTACATGGTTTATGAACGCCTCTCGCTCTGTTTACTCAACCAGCAGCTTTTTCTAACTGTAGCTTACTTGCAGTTAGCACAAAGTTTATTGCAATGGCAGACAAGAATCCATTTGCCAGGCTGGTGCCACCTAGTGCCTCCGCTCAATTTCATTTCTCTCCAGCGACTAGGAATACACTAGACGGTTTGCAAGAACCCCGGAAGTTGTAGACTGCGCACCGGCCAATCAAATGTGAGCTGTGAAGCCACGACGTCAAACTCAAGCGCCTTTCTGGGTCCCTTTTGTGGAACAGTACAACAGTAAACAAAGCGGTCAAGGTAGATGTAGACGAAAACAGATATTCTGTGTTTTTTGTGGATTTTCACTCTCTGCTTTGTTTGCTGTTGTGCCGACAATTTCTTCGACACCACTGAGCGTTCCGGCACATTACATACATCACAACCAAATAGCAGCGATTGGTCATGAGAAAGAAACTTAATGCTGCGAGGTCAAAAGGTTTCCAGGAAGTGAAACCGGCTGATGAATCAGGCTAAGAATCCACGACCAGTTCGCCGCAAAATAAAGTCCGTTTTTGAGGTCGCTAAAAGAAGAAGCGAAGGGGAAAAGGAGCAAAGCGAAACTAAGATGATTCTTGGCGATTCCTTCCAGCGATGGCGCCACTGAAGCAGACGAAGGGTCTAAAGACTGACGTGTTGGTCGCTAAATTACTTCTGGACAGAAAACTTCAACAGCAATTCGTTCAGCGATTCGTTCATGCGCACTGGCTATAAACATGATGATTTCAGTGTAAGGAGGAGGCGTTTCTACTTAGGGAGCTGTGGAGGAGGGGGGTGTCACGCATGAGCAACATTTGAAAAAGGACAGTCGCTGTATTCTCTTTCCTTGGAAAATCCTCTATACAACCTTTAAGTACAGAGTCTATTGCTTAGTATCGAATTTGAGTTTGAAATTTCAGTATAGTGACAACACTAGTGTAGTCTTGACCATATTAGAGCTTAAATATATGACCAAATAACTACATGATCCCAAATGAAACAAAACACGACCCGCCTTTAGCCCGCGTCCCACCTATTGAGAAGCCCTCCTCTTCGTCACAGTCCATTATGAAGTGCACGCAGCCATTCAAATCAAACACATGCTTTTGATTAATGGAGGCTGCCACTGGCCTAAATAATTAACGATCGCTTAAAGGCTGTGAAAATAATGAACTTTGGAGCCCGAGGAGCAGTATCAATCTCCACCAAATCACCCTCCGGGCTCCCGTACAACAAATACACACATCTACCACGCCGCGTTAATTAAACAGGGACAAATATTAGCGTCAAAGAGAGAGGGCGAGAGAGAGGGAGGAGACGGAGAGGATGAGACAGAACGACGAGAGGACGGAGATAGAGAAGAGAAAGAAGAGTGATGCAGCCAAATAAGGCCAAGTCCGCTCCTGCTTTAGTCCTAACATAGTCCAGGTTTAGTTCTAAAATAGTCCTGGTTTAGTCCTAAAATAGTCCTGGTTTAGTCCTACAATAGTCCAGGTTTAGTTCTACAATAGTCCTAGTTTAGTCTTAAAATAGTTCAGGTTTAGTCCTACAATAGTCCAGGATTAGTTCTACAATAGTCCAGGTTCAGTTCTACAATAGTCCAGGTTCAGTTCTACAATAGTCCTGGTTTAGTTGTACAACAGTCCAGGTTTAGTTCTACAATATACCTGGTTCATTCCTGGTTCATTCCTGGTTCATTCCTGGTTCATTCCTGGTTCATTCCTGGTTCAGTCCTGGTTCAGTCCTGGTTCAGTCCTACAATAGTCCAGGTTTAGTCCTACACTAGTCCAGGTTTAGTCCTACACTAGTTCTGGTTTAGTCCAACAATGGTTCTGGTTTGGTCCTACAACAGTTCTAGTTTTGTTCTGATTTAGCTCTGGTTTAGTCCTGATGTAGACTGGGTTTGATCCTGTTACAGGCCTTGTCTAGTCCAGGTTTAGTCCCAGGTTTAATCAGACTAAGAGACAAGAGTGATGGAGCAAAATAAGAAAGCTGAAAGATCCATTAATATACTGTATGGTATCCCTGTTCAAATCTGAAGTACATTTGTACATATGGCTAGTTAGTCAGCAGTAAGTCACAGACAAAACAGGACAAAACCAGGACAAAACAAGAACAAAACTAGGACAATGCCAGGACAATGCCAGGACAATACCAGGTCTAAACCAAGACTGAACCTGGATTTAGTAAGAACTAAATCCAATCTAAATCTAGAGCTAAACCAAAAGTTCTATCTTATCCTCTTTGCTCATATATTTGTTTTTGGAAATAGCCCTCACCTGTTTGACAATGGCCTCATATCCTCGTAGCAGATGCTTGAGCTGCCAACAGCAGTGCAGTCTGAAAAACACAGATTCAACTTACAGTTAGAACATTATTGTTACATAAGATGTAAAACGGTGGTGGTAGAGCACAAATCACTGTTTCATAACTGCTTTTTTTTGCAGGTACACAGCTTTAAAGGTGCACTATGTAACTTTATAGAGAATGCAACATCTGCTTGTCTATCTGCTGCTATGGAGATTTTATTGCTTTGTCTACAGTGTTCCACAATATAGAATTAAAGTCATCCATCTTCACTGAGAAAAGCAGGTAGTGGAACAAGATCATAATAATAAATTCAATGAAATAGACCCCCTCCAGAAAAGTTACATAGTGGACCTTTAGGTAAAGTATTTAGTTACTTTACACCTATCAGTATCTTAAAACAGTATTAGTTTAGTACTTGGCCCGTTTTATCTGTCCATCTGGAGGCAGCAGTATCCTCAGTCTGAAGTCCTGCTCCTGCAACACAAACATTAATGTTATCACCAGAGGTCTGCAGTGACAGTTAGAATACATGCAGACTCAACACATCAAGGCTACACGAAACAAAAACCCACATGAGACAAACAATGTGTAGTAACATACACTCACCGTGTTAGAATATTACCCCACATATCTTTATATGCTTTAAGATTCATTTCCTGCACATCACTTTCTATATTAGGACTGCAAGATTAATCACAATTGAATAGAAAAGCAAATCTGAAAGGCTGCAAATTTAGTTAGTTTTAGTTAGTTTATTTAGTAAAACTGCTAACCCTGTAGTTAGTTTAGATCTGCACAAACCTGTTTTGAAATGTTCAGTTCAGATTTCAGTCTCAATTCTTCAGGGTGTGTTTAAAATGTGAACATTGAATACAATTCTATTATTAACACATTACTAATTGTAATGCTTGTCAGAAAAATTACAGTTAGATATGTTTTCCAGATCATTCATGTCTATTCTATATTTACATCCACACCAAAATCTGATCATTATCTGATATCTGGAGTTATCCAGTTATTGAAATATCATGTAAACAGTTCACTCTGATGTGAGCAGTGATGGGAAAAATACTTCAAAAGTATCTGTATTTATAGAATACTGAATACCTCATTGAAATGTATTTTGTATTTTTATATTCTGAGACATGGTCAGAGTACTGTATTCTGAAAATACTTGGAATACTTGTATTTGTATTTTTTATAGTTGTATTTAAGTGAGTCTAAAACACGACATGGGAGTAATAACAGATTTATATTTTTCTCATAATTGTTCTGCATTTCCTCTCACGGACTGGAGGAGGATAAATACTAGAGCCCGACCGATATATCGGCTGGCCGATATTATCGGCCAATATGGGCACCTGGAGACATATCGGCTATCGGCCGATATGTTTGCTGATATGGGCCGATATTTCACGTGGGCATGTTATACCTTGTTATAAAGCTTAGACTCTCTACATTATGTTCATTTAATCCAATTTATAGACAGATAAATGTCCTCATATGTGGCTCCGCATCAGTATTTATTTGCGGTGTAATTTGTGTCCGTACTGTCCCTGAACACACCACAGAGTCACGTCACTTCACTCACGTGTGTTTGTTTACACCTGCAGCGGCGCGCAACACTGAGATTATTTTCTTTTTACCCACAATCGGTTTGAGTCTGGATTAAAAGGACTTTTATTAGTGCAGACTTGTGATGTGAGGAGGAGCCTGTGTGAGGCTGAGTGTTGGAAATACATCGACTTTGAAGCTAGTTTAGGTTATCTGTTAGCGATTAGCTGCTGTAGCTCCCACACATAAACAGACTGTTTTCTATTGGTCTATTGTAAAGTGTTTACATTGTCCGTACATTTGTTACTGGACCAGCATTGATATGTAAATGAGCTGTGAATAGACGTGTGAATGATTCACATTTATGCATATAATTAATTACCGCTGTGCGCACGTTTTTACGGCTAAAGGCTAATAGCGGTAGTTTATTTACTAGTTAGGAGTTATGGGTCGGTCTCGATCGAAGCAGCTCTTAGAACCGGCTCTTTGAAGTGAACGGACGGGAGCCTGCTTCTTATTGGGAGCCGTGTTTTCTCTTTTTGTCACTTTTTCTCTTCAAGCCGCATGTAGACCCGTAGTTTGACAGCAGCAGCGGCTGAAAACGAAACTTTCAGAAATCTGCGTGTGCATAGGATTAAAAAAAAAGGTGCATATTTGGCTGCAGTTCAGCATAAAATGAATAAACCAGGACTAAACTTGGGCTTGAGTGAAGGAGAGAGATAGAAACCGAGTCCCGACACTCAGTCCTGGTTCAGTTCTGGTTTAGTCCTGTTTTACACATGGTTTAAATCTGTTTTAGTCCTGGTTTAGTCCTTTTTCAGTCCTGGTTCAGTTTTGGTTTAGTCCTGCTTGCAACAAAACAATCAAGAGTCGCTTGGGAGCCGAAAGAGCCAGCTGCTTTAGTGAGCAGAGCCAAAAAGAGCCAGTTCTCCAAAAAAAAAAAAAAAAAAAATGGAATACCCATCAATAGTAGCTAGAATGTGATGCAAAAATGCCATTAGGCCAATCTACTGTATGTAAATATGATATAAAGAGTCAGAATAACAATAAATGTTGCCTAAATAAACCCAATTTAGAATCCATTAGAGCCAAACCAAAGTTTTTTAAACAATTGAAGATTTACAGTGAATTTTTACATCACTAAATATATCGGCGATTATATCGGCTATCGGCAGCTCCAACTCCCATTATACCAGTTTCATATCGGCCACAACAAAATCCATATCGGTCGGGCTCTAATAAATACACATCTGCACTCACCTCAACAGCAGTGGTTCCTATTTTTCTCACTGTCCTGTGAAATTTGAAGAATAAATTGTGTGATCAAACACCACAAAGTATTCCTCTGAATTTAGGAAAGTAACTCTGAACCACCAAAAGAGAAAAATAACAGTGCAGAATATAGTTAGTAAAAAATGTGTATTCAGGTCACAACACTAACACTGGATGGGAGTAATGGGAGTTCTTTCTGATCGTTCACACCTGCGCAGGTTTTGATGAGGACAATCACACAAAAAGGACAAACTAATGTGACAAAAACAGAAAAGAAATACAAATGCTGAAGATGGAAAAAAAAGTTATTTTATAATACATTGTACTCGAAATACAAAAGTTACTGTGAAATTCTATTCATTACTGACACGTGTTATAAGATTATCTGATTTTCACTGGCCACACTGTAAAAAGCTTAAGATATAAACACTTAAATCTGTCAGAAAATGACTTAAAAGTAGTGAAATGATGTGTCCATGCAGCAAGATAATTTCACTTGACAAGTTATCTTAAAATAAACGACCTTTAGACTAGAATTAATCAATCAATCAATCAAACTTTATTTATAGAGTGCTTTTCATACAAAAATGCAACACAAAGCGCTTAAGTAGTCTCAAAACTAGTAAGTAGATCATAAATCTGAAAACAAGATGAATAACCTTACCTGATATAAGTTTTCAAATCTTGGCCAGATCAGATTTGCAGTCCATGTACAGAACCAACCAGTGAGGATTACAACTTTAAATTATTTGATTTATTATTAGAGTGACCAAATCTTCTCAGGATAGTCACATTTTATTTGTGTTTTGGTCATTTTTGGCAGCTTTTCTGTATTTTTTCTAAACAAATGACAAATGAGAGAGAGAGAAAAGAAAGAGAGCGAGGAGAGAGGAGAGAGGGAGAGAGAAGAGAGAAGAAGAGAGAGGAGGAGAAAGGGAGAGAGGAGGAGGACAGAGGAAGAGGCGAGAGGAGGCGAGAGGGAGAGAGGAGGCAAGAGGAGACGAGAGGAGGCGAGAGGAGGTGAGAGAAGAAGGAGAGAGGTGAGAGGAGGCGAGAGGAGGAGGGGAGAGGAGCTGAGAGGAGGTAAGAGGAGGAGGAGAGAGGGAAAGGAGGAGGTGAGAGGAGGAGGAGAGAGGGAGAGGAGGAGGAGAGAGGAGGTGAGAGGAAGCGAGAGGAGGAGGAGATGAGAGGAAGCAAGAGGAGGCGAGAGGAGAAGGAGAGAGGTGAGAGGAGGACAGAGGAAGAGGAGAGTGGAGGAGAGAGAGGAGGAGAGAGGGAGAGGAGGAGGCGAGAGGAGGCGAGAGAAGGCGAGAAGGCGAGAGGAGACGAGAGGAGGCGAGAGCAGGTGAGAGGAGGCGAGGAGGAGAGAGGAAGTGAGAGGAGGCAAGAGGAGGCGAGAGGAGGCAAGAGCAGCTTTTCTGTATTTTATCTAAACAAATGACAAATGTTTATGTCTCTCTTTACTGTTTCAGACTTGGTCAAAAATAGGGAGACATGGGACATTTCTTGTATAAAACTAGGACAGGTTTTGTGTAAATCTGCTGGGACAGAGGACACAGGACTCAAAACTGGGACTGTCCCGGGGAATTAGAGACATCTGGACACCATCTTTATTGTGCATCACTTGTTTCTCCGTGTTTTGAAATGGGCTGATTGGCAAAGCATTACGTGAACTCACAAACCCACGCAAACGTAAGAACTCACTCCCTCTGTTCTGTCAAGTTCTTACCTGAACAGTGATAAACCCGTCGTAGATCGTCCTCTCTCTGTTCATGGGCAAAAGTCGCGGATTGTCCTTAATCAATAAACTCTCCATGACTTTAGATCGATCTGCACGTGTTATTAATCCGTGCGATTATATGAAATTACGTCATCATTCCGCGATAACGTTCGTAAAAGTGACCGAAAATGTCTTAATAAGTGACACCTACACGTACGCGGATGCTAATAATTAGTTTATGTTGAAACTGACGGTGTGCAGTGAAATAATCGCGTTTAAAGTTAGTTTTGGACACTTTTTCGCGACGTTTGCTCGTGTTTACATCGCCCTTCCTGCTCGCGCCATGAAAACAAAAAACGTGCTACGTCACAGGCAACGTCATCACGCAGGGTTTTTTGCTTAAAGGGCCTATGTATCTTAGACTTGAATTTAGACAAATTTTATTGATCCACAAAGGAAATGATTTGTACACAGGAACTCACACATCACAATATAATATAATAACAAATAGAAAAATATAAATCGCAATAATACATTCTAAATAAGTAGCAAAAAGAGCAAGAAACAGGTATCATATAAGACGCAATTATATAAATGTAAATGTACAAGAAAAAAATAGAAAAATAAGTAATAAAATATAAATACAAGAAGATTTATACAAGAAATCAGTGCAACAATGATATGGTGATCGAGAGGACACAGGGTTATCTGTTACATAAGTATGAGTTGTTGAACAGTTGTAGGGAGTATTATCTGTTACATAAAGGTGAATTGTTGAACAGTTGTAGGGAGTATTATCTGTTCCATCAGGGTGAGTTGTTGTACAGTTGTAGGGAGCATTATCTGTTACATAAAGGTGAATTGTACAATTGTAGGGAGTATTATCTGTTACATAAAGGTGAGTTGTACAGTTGTAGGGAGTATTATCTGTTACATAAAGGTGAGTTGTACAGTTGTAGGGAGTATTATCTGTTACATAAGGGTGAGTTGTTGTAGGGAGCATTATCTGTTCCATAAGGGTGAGTTCTCTTCCTTGTTGGTCCAGAGTCTCCTCGTGGTCCAGAGCCTCCTTGTTGGTCCAGATCCTCCTCGTGGTCCAGAGCCTCCTCGTGGTTCCTCCTCGTGGTCCACAGCCTTCTTGTGGACCAGAACCTCCTTGTGGTTCCAGAGACTCGTCGGAGAAGCGTCAGAAATAAAAGCGAGACTGTTAAAACATGTTAATATGTTGTTTTAGCAAATAAAGCATTTTCAAAACAATAAAAGGTAAGCTAGTGATCTGAATATATCATGTGTTACACTTAATATCCCACAGAAGTGTAAACATTGGCTCCCTGTTCTTTTTTGTGTCCACCACACCTTTAGGGCTCTGCGTGGTCAGGCTCCTGCTCACATCACAGACCTGATAAAGTCGTCCACCTCGGCCTGTAGCCTGAGGTCCACCAGACAAAACCTTCTCATGGTCTCTCGGACAGGTTTTAAAACGTGAAGCGACAGAACCTTTCAACCCATCTCCTCTAAACTCTGGAACGAACTGCCTCCTCACCGTTCTCCTCATGTGTCTTTGAGCAAGTGTTCCCGCCTCCTCAGGTTTAGAGCTGCTCTGAATGATTTTGATTATGAATGTGTCTTCTGCTGTTTTTATCTTTTCTACGTGAAGCACTTTATGACATAAATTTGTCTGTGAAAAGAGATATATACATAAACTTGACTTATTTACTCATTATACCCCCTCTTTAATAAAATGTATATTGATTCCATGGATTTCATTATTCCAAGTGTGTTTCAGTGATCGTGTGTGTTTGTGTGTTTGTGTTTGAGTGCTGCTGTTAGTTAGTTTGTTTACACTTCGGACTGACTGTGTGTGTGTGTGTGTGTGTGTGTGTGTGCGTGTGTGTGTGTGTGTGCGTGTGTGTGTGTGTGTGTGTGTGTGCGTGTGTGTGTGTCTTTGTAGAAACGCTTCTTCACAAACACTCACACGTCCTTGGGTTTCCCCTTTCTATTGTGAACAACGACTAACATGTGATTACTGTCCACTCTCTATCCACTGACACAGAGAGAAGAGAGAGAGGAGAGAGGAGAGAGGAGAGAGAGAGGAGAGAGAGGGAAGAGGAGGAGAGGAGGAGAGAGGATTAGAGAGGGAAGAGGAGGAGAGAGATAGGGAGGGAGATCAGGAGGAGAGAGGAGGAGAGAGTCAAGAGGAGGTGAGAAAAGGTGAAAGGAGGCGAGAGGAGAAGGAGAGAGGAAAGAGGAGGCGAGAGGAGAAGGAGAGAGGAGAAAGAGAGAGGAGAAGAAGGAGATAGGAGGCGAGAGGAGGAGAAGAGAGGTGGTGAGAGGAGGAGAGAGAAGGAGGGAGGGAGGAAAGGGGAGAGAGGAGGAGAGGGGAAGAGAGAGGGCGGGATAGAACGAGAGAATAGAGGGAGTAAAGTGGGGTAGAGGGAAAGTAGAGAGAGAGAGGGTAGAGGAGGGTGTGGGTGAGAGAGAAGTGGGACAAATTGAAAGGGGGAGAGGGGAGAGAGAAAGAGAGATGGGGGAATGACACAGGGAGAGAAAGAAGAATGAGAGAGAAGAGAGAGGAGAGAGAGAATGAGGGGAGAGAGTTAGTGGGTAGAAGGAGAGAGTAGGAGGGAGGAGAGCAAGGGGGCAAAAGGAGAGAAAGAGGAAAGAGAGAGAAGAGAGAAAGAGAGGAGAGAGAGAGTAAGGGGGTAGAGAGAGAAAACAAGAGAGAAAGGGTGATAGAAATAGAGGGACAGATTGAGAGAAAAGTTGGGAGAAGGAGTAAGAGAGAGATGGGTAGAAAGAGAGAGAGAGAGAGGGTGGGTGAGAGAAAAGAGAGAAGGGGAAAAAGAAGGTATGAAAGAGAGAAAGAACACAAAAGAGCCAAAAGAAAAAAGAAAGAAGGTAGAGTAGAGTGAGAGGAGAGAGAAGGAGAGAAAGAGAGTGGATGAAAGAGAAAAGAGAGAGGAAGAAAGAAGAGGAGAAAGATAAATAGTGAGAGAAAAAAGAGAATGGAAAAGAAAGAAAGAAGAGAGAAAAAGAGAAAAGAGTGGGAAAGAGAAAAGAGAGATGGGAAAAGAAGAGAAGAAAGAGGTATGTAGAGAAAGAGAGAAGGTGAAAGGATGAAAGAAAAAAGAAATACAAGAAGAAGAGAGGAGAGAGGAGGAGAGAAAGAGAGAGAGAAGGGTATAAAGGAGATAAATATAGAGAGTAAGAACACGAAAGAATGAAAGAAAAACGGAGAGAGAAAGAGAGTGAAAAGAGAGAGGTAAAAGAAGAGGAGAAAGAGATATGTAGAGAAAGAGACAATGTGAAAGAATGAAAGAAAAAAAAAGACAAGACGTAGAGAAGAAAGAGAGAGTGAAAGATATGATAGAGATAAATATAGAACGTAAGAACATGAAAGAATGAAAGAAACAAAAAGAGAAAGAGAGCGAAAAGAGAGAGACACAGAAAAAGTAAGAAAGAAAAGGAGAAGGAGATATGTAGAGAAAGAACGTGAAAGGATGGAAGAAAAAAGAAAGAGAAAGAGAGCGGGTATAGAGAGAGACTAAAAGAAGAGGAGAAAGAGATAGAGAGATAGAGAGAGATAGAGAGAGAGAAAAGGAGGAGGGGTGAGAGCCGCACGCGCCGCTGTCAGCGTTGATGCTTTTTGTCATCCACCTGCTTCAAACACCGGAACGCAAGACGCACACACACAAAAAAAAAGAGACAGAAAAACATGCAAATGACCGAGAGGGAGAGAAGAGAAGAGGAGAGGAGAGAGGGAGGAGGGAAAGAGGAGAGGAAGAGAAGGAGGAGGAGGGGAGGAGGAGGAGGCTAGGAACAAAGAGGGAGCTTTACTTAGTGCATGCGCTGAATTTAAGGCAATGGTCTAGAGCAGTTTATGCCACAGAATTGTCAGTTTTTCTTAAAGGTAAGTGCGGATTTTTCACATATTTTCAATCTGTAGATGTTTAAGACTATAGGTATCCCTTTAAAGCAGGTGCATTGTGGGAAATAGCGAGTTAAATGTGTGGTTGGGTGGACCGCGCGCCCTCTCCTCGCTCCTCTCTCGTCCGTCTCCCGGCGTGGACTAGAGGAGCGCTGGTCTCGCCGTGGTTTTTCTGGCTGCTCTGGTCACTTGTCTGGATTGTTATTGGCTGGAGTTGGGCTCGGTGGCGCCCCCTCCCCTCCTCGCCGTGCTCTGCGGTTCTCTCTATCTCTCCATTGGAGCCAGAGGTGCTGTGTCCGACACCAGAGGGTTTTTTTTTTTTTTTTTTTTTTTTCCTTTTTCTTTTTGCATGAACGACGACGCGGACACTGTTTCACGGCTCATTGGACAAACATGGAGCTGTGAATAAGCAGAGAATTGGACGTGATGATTTCTATATTAATAACGCGGTGCTTTTATGGCATTTATTCATTTATTTATTTTGCTCACGAGCGTTGGAGTGTGTTTTAATCATCAGATTCTGTTCAAAGTTCACACGTCTAGAAGAAATGACAAAAAGACTGAAATGTGAATTGACAAATAAAACAATAATCACATTTCAGATCATGTTTGTGCAGATAAAACTACAGGGACACTTGTCTTTTTATGCACAATAAGAGCTCGTGGAGACACAGGGAGGGCATCTGACACAAAGAGATTTGGATTATAATGAGAGAAAAGCAGCATATTAACAGTCTTCTTATCTGACACAAAATTTTACAATAAATATTGTACCGTGAGATGCATATAATCGAGAGATTATGATATCAAGACATTATGATATTGTTTCATCCCTAATACTGACGCCAACTAATCTGGATCAATATCGACCGATACTGGAACCGATATATCACCCAATGCGTAATATTTACTACTAAAATGTCTAATATTTTCTACTAAATAGTGTGCCCGTATTTGTGAATAAACACAATTGTTATAGTTTTTTTTATGTCATTATTTTTTGCATTTGGACTCATTTATTCTTTTATTTCTTTTCCTCACGAGCGTTGGAGTGTGTTTTAATCATCAGATTCTGTTCAAAGTTCACACGTCCAGAAGAAATATTGTGATAAATATTGTACTGTGAGATGCAAATCAAGAAGTTATGATATCAAGAGATGATGATATCGTTACAGCCCTGATAATGATACCAACTAATTGGTATCAATATCGATGGATACTGGAACCGATATATCACCCAATCCGTAATGTTTCCTCTAAAAATATCTAATATTTACTACTAAATAGTCTGCCTGTATTTGTGAATAAGTCCAATTGTTATAGTTTTTTTAATGTCTTTTTGTTTTTTTTGTTGTTTTTTTTTTGACTAATTTATTCATTTATTTATTTTGCTCACGAGCGTTGGAGTATGTTTTAATCATCAG